AAATCCAGCCCGGGTCCGCCACACAACAATGATGGCTGCAACCAAAAAATAGCTGGGCGTTGTGGTGGGCACCTGTAGTCCCAGCTACTTGGGAAGTGGAGGCAAGAGAATCGCTTAGTCCAGGAATTGGAGGTTGCTGTGGGCTGTGATGTCATGGCACTCCACTCAGGGCGACAGCTTGAGGCTCTGTCTCAAAAAATAAATAAGGGTAAATATATGTGCTTTTTAATTTTTTTCTTTTTACAAACTCAGATCTTGCCATTTATAGTTTGGATTCTCTTTTCATGTTTAATATTATATCATGATTACTTTCCCATAATAGGGGACAATAATGTGAAAATAGCTTTCCTGTCAGATCCGTGGTAAAAAGCTAGCTTTACTGCTTGTAGTCTCTGTGGTAGTGGCTACTCACATCTCCTCTGAACTTGTGTCTTCCTTCCTATCATGAGGATACTACTCTTAACCACACTGGTGTGAGTGAAGTTTTAGAAATGATAGGCTCGGTACTCATAGCTTAGTGGCTAGGGTGTGGGCCACATACACCGGAGCTGGCGGGTTCAAGTCCAGCCTGGGCCTGCTAAACAACAATGACAACTGCAACAAAAAATAGCTGGGTGTTGTGGTGGGCGCCAGTAGTCCCAGCTACTTGGGAGGTTGAGGCAAGAGAATCGCTTGAGCCCAAGAGTTTGAGATTGCTGTGAGCTGTGATGCCATGGCTCTCTATTGAGCGTGACATAGACTCTGTCTCAAAAAAAAAAAAAAAAAAAAAAGATTAGAAATTATAGGTAAAGCCCTTGGCATGTAACCCAGTTCTTAGAAAGTGCTGAAAACTGGGGGTTATGATACTATTGTTAGTGATTTTTAAAAATATATATATATGGATAACTTTATTAAACATACCAATTTAAGAACATTCAAGTTTTCTGTAAAATATTATATAACATAAGATAAAGCAGACCAATGGTAATGGTTTATATATACATATTAATGTACTTACCAAATATATCAGGTAGGCATACTGACCTATAAATGCTATAACAAAACATATATATATATATATATGTCCCTAGCTGTTTTTTTTTTTTTGACAAGATCTTGCTCTGTTGCCTAGGCTGGAGTGCAGTGGTATGATCATAGCTCGCTGTAACCTCAAACTCCTGGGCTCAAGCAATCTTCCTACCTCCGCCTCCTGAGCCAGCTGAAGACTATAGGTGCACATGCCTGGCTAATTGGAAAAAAAATTCCCTGTCACCTGGGTTAGCTCACTGAAACCTCTTGCTCCTTGGCTCCAATGATCCTACTGCCTCAGCCTCCTGAGTTGCTGGGACTTGAGGTGTGCCACCACACCCAGCTGATTTTCCTTTTTTTCTTTTTGTAGAGACAAGGTCTCGCTTTTTCTCAGTCTGGAAAAAAAGTTTGGTTGAGACAGGGTTGCTGTGTTACTCAGGCTGGTCTCTATCCCCTGGCTTCAACTTGATCCCACTGTCTCAGCCTCCCAAAATGCTGGGGTTTCAGGTGTGAGCCACCAGGCCTGGTTTTCAGAATTCTTCCAAAACTGTTTTTAATGGTATTATATCATCAAATGAAGTGATGATGTAAAGGTAAAAAAGAAATAGTAAAACAATGCATTGTTTATGTGGAGAAAAAAACAGTATAAGGTTGCAATTTTAAACATTTTTAAGGCTCGGCGCCTGTGGCTCAAGCGGCTAAGGCGCCAGCCACATACACCTAAGGTGGCGGGTTCGAATCCCCAGCCCGGGCCCGCCAAACAACAATGATGGCTGCAACCAAAAAATGGCCAGGCACTGTGTGCGGGCGCCTGTGGTCCCAGCTACTTGGGAGGCTGAGGCAGGAGACTCGCTTGAGCCCAGGAGTTGGAGGTTGCTGTGAGCGTGATGCCATGGCACTCTACCCGGGGGATAGTTTGAGGCACCGTCTCAAAAAAAAAAAAAAAAACATTTTTAAACATTCATTCATTAAATGAATATAGTCCATTCTGCTTCTGTTCTCCTACTATGCATCTACATGCTAAATATATTAGAAGAAGCATAGTTTTAAATTTTAAACTTTATTGAAGTATATATGTTCTAAAAATGACTCATATGCATACAATTCAATGCATTTCTACAATGTAAACACACTCTGTGAAGTTAGCTAAAAACCATTACCAGGCCCCTTCTTTAGCCTTGCGTTCAAGTGACAAGACAGTCCCTTTCTCCCAAGAGTTATCACTATCCTGACCTCTATCACCATACATGGATGACTTTCTCCTGCATTTGGATTCGGTTTACCTGAATGTGGCTTGTTTGGCTCAGTGTGTATCTTTGTGGTTTACCCATGTTGTGTGTGGCAGGAGTTACATGTTCTTTCCTCTCTGTACAGTCCTGCTCCACTGCAGATGCTGGGACAGAAGTAGACCCTAATGTGCTCAGGTACACTCGCTGTGTGCAGTTGAGTTAATTTCTCTCCTAGGCATCCAGGATGGTGTAGCAAGCTACCATCCCTGGGAGAACTGAGAAAATCGTTATTCAGATCATTTTCCACAAGGCTTAACTCTGTCAGAGAATCTCAAGACAAGGCTGTGAGGGTTAGCTTTTCTGGGCCTTGCCATTTACCAGCCCTCCTTGTCTTCCAGCAGATGGCCTCTCTTATCTTGCTTTCCTGCAGGTTTTCTGTGAGAGTACTGGTTTGCTACAAGCTACTGTCATCCCCACCAGGAAGCGGAAGTCCAGAAAACAGCTGAGCTCCTAAGAAAATAAAGGAAATTCCCAGGGGCCAAATAAAAGGGAAGAAGGAACTGGAACCCCAGCAGGCAAAAGAGCAGGGAAGCTGGGGAGTTTTTCTTTTTTTTTTTTCTTAGAGAGAGTCTCACTTTATCGCCCTTGGTAGATAAAGTGGCGTCACACAGCTCACAGCAACCTCCAACTCCAGGGCCTAGGCAATTCTCCTGCCTCAGCCTCCAGAGTAGCTGGGACCACAGGCACCTGCCACAACACTCGGCCATTTCTCTGTTGCAGTTTGGGCCAGGGCTGGGTTTGAACCCGGCGCAGGTGTCGCTTCTATAATCACATCTATTAATTTTCCTTTTGTAATAGCCCCTGGCTAACGTGTCTTACTTAGGAAAGGCAGCCGTACTCCAAGACTGAAAATGATTTTTCTATATTTTCTTCTAATACTTTTATACTTGAGGGTTTTTTTTGTTTTTTTGTTTTTTTGAGACAGAGCCTCAAGCTGAGCCCCTGGGTAGAGTGCCATGGCTTCACTGCTCACAGCAACCTCCAACTCCTGGGCTCAAGTGAGTCTTCTTGCCTCAGCCTCCCAAGTAGCTGGGACCACAGGCACCCGCCACAACGCCCGGCTTTTTTTTTTGGTTGCAGCCATTGTTGTTTGACGGGCCCGGGCTGGATTCGAACCTGCCACCTTAGGTGTATGTGGCTGGCGCCTTAGCCGCTTGAGCCACAGGCGCCGAGCTTTATACTTGAGTTTTTACATTCCCTTGCCTTAGCCTCCTGAGTAGCTGGGACTACAGACACCCGCCACAAAACCCGGCCACACTCGGTATATGGGGCCAGCACCCCACCCACTGAGCCACAGGTGTCACCCCGAAGCTGGGGATTTTTAACAGGTGTTGAGGGGCCCAGGCAGAGGTGTGCATTGGCACTATGTCCCTCTCCTCCTCAGCCCATAATCTAGGACTCTCAAAAAGCTGTGTTCCTTGAATGGAAGAGTGGGCTAGGAAATAAAATCTTCCCAGTGGCCCCCCAAAAACAAAGGACTGTCACCCTGTCTTCTGGGAGGAATAGGAGGTGTGGTTTATATTGTTCCTCTAAGCAGCTGTCAAACAGCTTCTCACACGCCTTTGGTGTTTGCCCTTAGGCTACCTCTGATGCCCAGGAAATCTCAAATCTAAACATAAAAAATTACCATTCACCCAAAGAAACAAACTGCATGCTTATTAAAGTGTTGCAATTTAGGCAAATCTCAATATAAAACTCAACTTTGTACAGTAAAAAGTATCTCTGTCCAGTCTTAGAGGTATTCACCAGCACCACTGTTGTATTGGCTTTACAACGCGTTGACACATTGGAAATAGGAATCTTGATGTTGAGACAGTATCACCCTTGTCCTGTCCACATGATGCAGTTTCATCAAAGCTTAGCAACTGGGCTTTACAGTAGCTCATTCCTGTAGTCCTCAGCCACTGGGGAGGCTGAGGCAAGAGGACTGCTTGCACCCAGGAGTTTGAGGTTGCAGTGAGCTATGATGACACCACTGCAGCAAAAGAATGAGACTGTGTCTTGAAAGAAAAAGTAAAAAACAAATAGGATTATCTTATATGCATAAGCTTCTGTCTCCATGTGGCTGATGTGACTAGTTCCTGGGATTCCTCTTGTAGAAGGCTTTGTTCCCTGAAAATCTGTTGTGATACTTTTTTGATATAAATGAACCTTTTAAAAAATGAAGTTATAACTTAGAAAATTAATGAGCAGGTACCAGTCTTCATCCTGTGATGTGAAGGGAGGAGCCAGGTACACACAGATGATAAGAGTTATATAAATTAACATTCTTGGAGCAGCTATTGGCTGTCCTTTCGCTTCCTCCCCAACCTCCAACATGTTTTGAGTGCCTACTGGATGCCAGGCATTGTACTGTCGGGAAGGATACAGATAGGACTAAATCATGGTTTCTCCTGCCCTGGAGTTCACATTCCAGCTGACCACTGCGTTGGGCCCTAGAACCCACACAAATGCATTGCAGTGAATTGAATCCATTCTGTGATTCTTTCTGTAGAAACTATTGGTATCTCATGAATTTCTGATGCGTCATCTTCAGCTTTTGGAGAAAGATAATTACCACAGCTGTGTATATAAGTAAGCATCTGAAAATATTGACTGGCTAGCAGGAAACTGGATATCATAGTTTTTCAAACAAACAAATAGGTTATATAATCAAAAGTTAATTTGTCGATATTACTAATTACTCCACAACCAATCTTTCAGGATGATGTGAGGCGTAAGGTTCATCTGAACACCTTTGGATTCTTTAAGGATGGGTACATGAAGGTCAACGTCAGTAGCCTCTCAGTGAATGAGCCTGAAGACAAGGATGTCACTGTAAGTACGTTATTATGAAATCAAGGGTTTATTTTAGTTTAGGTGAAAGAAACACCTTCTAACCCAAAAGCCTAAATATAAAGTGTCAGAATATGGAGAAAATTAAACTTGTGAGTACCAAATTATATATTTGACATCAGATATTTTTACTTTCAAAATTTAA